GTTTTCATCAATAAACACTTTAACCGCTGTACGCTCTTTCTCAGATAACAGGTATACTTTGGACGTTTTGGGTATGAAACCAGGTTTAGTTTCTATCCGATGGTCTATCCCAGGTCGTTCAGGAGGCAATTGACTCAGACCGTCTTTTGCAAAGATGTCGGCGAAGTTGTGAAGGTAGGAAGGGACAAGTTCTTCAAAGGGTTTCTTCCTTTGTTCCAGCCCAGCGGCCAATGCGAACTGTTGGGCTTTGTTACTGGTTTTGATGTATTCAGTGGGCCGTGCCAAAGGTGTAACCGTGGTTTGTTGTTCTATAATGCTAGTCCCGTCCCTTGTTAATGGTGTGTCTAGTGAGACATTGGTGATTACCCGAAGTTCCGAGGCGTTGTTGGGGTATTCGACCAAAAATTCATCATCTTCTAAACGATACATGGAGATTTCTTGCACCGGCGGTGCATAATCTGTTGTCCATACGTCTTCTTTAGTATTGAAAGTTTCGTCGTCATCGTCAGGGATTTCTTGCAATGGTGGTGTTGGTTCGTTGTCGTCGGGGATTTCTTCCAAGGTGGCTGACGGTGTCAGTTCATTAGATATGTTGACCGATTTCCTAGGAGGTGCTTTTGGTAGCACTACTACCGGAGTTGGTTTCTGATCTGGCTTTCGAAAGAGGAGGGGGAGTCCATTTTTCCTTCTATCTTTATTGACGTCTTCTTCAATCTGATCGCTTTTCTCCGTTCTCTGGAGTTCTAGCGTCTCTGCTTTCCATCAGATTACTGGGTCCATGGCGCATAGCCAGGGATCCCTAGTAGAATCTGATCTCTTTGACTGAGTCGAGTGATATTGAACTTTCCTATCATGGATCGTTCATCAATTTTGACAATAAGGATGCAGTATCGGGTGATGGCGCCCCCCTTTGCATAACTTCCATCCGCAGTGGTAACTCGAAATGGTTTTGATAGCTTATGCGTTCGGATCCCGTGAGTCTTGACGAACTCTTCGGAAATAAAGGTTCCGGCAGCACCAGAGTCAACAACAGCTGTTGTTTCGACGGTTTTCAGAAGGGTTCTGGAAATGAGAGAAATGGGAATGCGAAGTTCCTTTCTGATTCCAATACTTTGTACAAGTCTGATAGGTATGGAAGATACTGACGTCGATCCAGTCTTCCACATCAAAAATCCTCGGCAAGGCGATGGATCATTGTATCTTCATCTTCTTGATCGCTGTCGCTTATTTCTTCTCTGTGAATAGGGATCTTCTTCTTCTGCGGGCATGCTTTAGTCATATGCCCCTTCTGGTGACATGTGAAGCATAGTCCTTTCTTCATATGGTCACTTCTCTCGGCTTCAATGAGTCGGTCTATCTCCATGGCATTTGGATCATGCTGATCAATGGAGGGTCTGGGTATGTATCACTGTCCAGATGGTCTGGTAGTGGTTCGATGGTTTGATCGATATGCGACCCCTCTCTGATAGTTACTATCCAGTCTAATGACGGTAGCAACATATTTGTCGAAATCTATTGGAATGGTTTCCATCTGATAGACAGAGTTGACGATTCCTTTCTTCAGTCCGTCATTGAAGAACATGATAAGGACGGCGTCTTGCTTCACAGAGGCTTGTGCAGCAAGAGTCTTGAAACTGGCGATGTAGGAGGTAAGATCTCCCATCTGTTTCAATGTTCGTAGGTTGTTCATGGCGGTACCGATGGCATCAGCCGGTACAAAGGCCTCTTTGAACTTGGTTTCAAAGTTCGTGAAGGTCCCGTAGGTCTTGGCGACAGAGTTGTCGACTTCAGTGTAGAAAGTGAGTGCCCATCCCATAGCACTTCCTTCTGTCATATAAGCAAGGGCAGTGATGACCTTCTTATCGTTGGTATTGTAGATCGTAGCATTAAGCGCAAAATATGCCTTAACAGCATACAACCATCGTAGAGCCTGTTGAGGACTCCCATCATAGGTGGATGGAGCTCCGGCTTTCAATTCTGGGGAGGTAGAGATGGTGGACATCCTGAGTGTCTGGTCAAGTGATGTTTCTGGTTCAGGGGAATGTTGTTGTTCTCTCGCTGAGTTCTTTCTGGTTCTGTAACCTCTTCGGATGGAGAGGGTCGATAATTGACTTTAATCTTTTGTTACAGCGGACTAGGGTGGGCTCAACAACAGGTACTCGATAAGAGCACGCCTGAAGCCGGTTCAAGCCTTATGAATGTAAGGTTCTTAAGACAAGTCAGAGAGAGTGTCTCTGGCTTGAATATTGGTTATCAGACAACTTAGGATTGGGGGTCCTAAGCGAAGGATAGTTCTGGGTAAAACCTAGTAGATTAAAGTGAAGTTCTAACTAAGTACAAGACCAGGTTTATATAGACGTAAGAGGTTTAGGGCCGGTATTGTACGCGTCATCTAGACGAGTCAGAGATAAGAGATGGTGTCATCTAGCAATGGCACGAGGTGGTTGTGATGTAATACAGCTACGGATGATTGGTTGGTCTAATGATGGCATGACAAGGTGTGGTCATGATGTAATACATGAGCGAGAAGAGAGAAAAGAGATAGGGGTAACCACAATTGTAACAATACGTACCTGCCCTAAAGATAGCTACATCTATATAAGCTCAGTCATGTACTTAGCAGATCTTCACTTTAATCTACTAGGTTCTCACCTGAAACATCCTTCGCTTAGGACCCCCAATCCTAAGTCGTCTGATACCGATATTCAAACCAGAGACACTCTCTTTGGCTTGTCTTACGACCCTTGTATTTGCAAGGTCTTGATTCAATGTCAGATGCTACTCTTATCGAGTATCTGTTGTTGTGCCTATCCTAGTTCACCATAACACCCTCCACTGTTCACAATATCTGCGATTACCCTGATTATTATGACCCTCTTTATTATCCCCAATATCATACTTTGATTTTTTCAACTGCATCTGCATTTTGTGCTTGGCTTCTCAAATCCCTCATTTCTCATCATCGTACATGCTTGTCTTGCACCCTAGTATTCATGGGTCCTATTTGCTATGATGGTGTCGTTATTGTCATCACACAGCAAAGCACATCTGTTTCGTTGTCATTACCTGCCTTTCAAAGCGCTGGTTATTGTCACTGTAGTGTAATCCGTCAACTGTCCTTCACTTCCTCTCAAGTTTGTTTTTTGGACTGGTTGGAATGTTATCCCCCTTGGTTCCATACTTGTGATGAAATCATCCGGTGTCACCTGGACACACTCTCCCACTCTGCTTTATCTCAATGTGTTTCCAGGATTCCTGATGCTTCTGTTCGCCCATGTGTTAAAGCATGTTTTCAGGACCTCATTGCCGATCATTTCATCAAGATGCGGGCATCCAATCAGATTTGTTCAGCATGTCTGAACACTTGCCTTTGAACCTCACACAATTCAGCATACTGCAGTGAATGTCAGACAGGTCTATGATAGGGTATTCCATTGTGGTTGCTGCGACACAGGTACAGTTCCGATAGGTGGAGAAACAGAGTGATGGTGTATCACTGCATTCTTAATGCAACTTGAGTAGAAACCTGGGACATGATTGATGGACTCACAGAGAATGAGATACAGGCCTGGGAGATCACAGTTTGTGTGGGTCATATGAAATTTAGACAGTTGATAGATACAAACATCGTGGATTGTACTGAGTGCAGGTTATGGGTGAACGGAGCATAGTGAAAATCATCTGGAGAGTGTGACAAGCATGGAACATGGGGAGCAACGGCATGGCGTGTCTCAGATCACATTGTCTGGCAACAGATGGTTACAAATCGGGCATATAAAGAATGGAGAGACTAGTCAGGATGAGGGCAGGGATGGGATAGCCATAGAAATAGTATTGAGTCACACAATGTGATTGATGAGACTACTTGTTGAGGCTAAAAGGTCAATGACAACCACACCAATTTGAAAGGTTTGGGACAAAGCATTGCCTGTTTGTGGCTGAATCCGAGGAGGTGGGAACAGGCGTGTCCATGGCATTATGATTTGTAAGCACAGCATGGAAGAAAGACAAGTCCGAAACATAGACTCACCGGAGCAGATACTTAGGATTAGCATATCATAGTATATAAACTATACAATTATTTACATTAGCAGGGAGTCGGAATCATATCTCAAGTCTCACCTTAACTTCTAAAGTCTCATAACAAGATGGACATATGACAAAGGAGTCGGTGCTAGATATACAACCATCCAGTGCTTGTGAGGCCAAAATGAGCACAATCAAACGCATTATATCCATTCCCATCTTGATTGACCTAGTATTTGAAGGTAATTAACAAGGAGAAATCAGACCAGGAGTCTTCGAAAGAACAACAGACTACAATTATAGTAGGAACTCACATGGTTCTGAATGTTGAAACACTGCAAAAGATGAACATCCTGATTCCGGCAACCCATTCTCTAGTTAACACTGAGCACCTGTGTGTCACCATAAACATTACTTCTTAGTAACACTGACACAATCGGATGTTTGTTACTAACTAGGGGCGAGAATCCACCTGTGACTCCCATGTAAGGGATCTAAATAGAAGTGATAATAGATAGGGTTATCACCTGTAAAATGACAGATTTTCAACACCTGCAAGCCTCCTTCAATATCTCTTCGATAATGAGCGACTTATAATAATCAGTAGAGTAGTATACTAGGGTAAGTAGGCGTGGGCATGTCGGCACTGACATAGTTGATGTTCCTGACATCAGCTATCACCGCCCGCCACCCGAACCTTTGTGCCTGCTGTTGTACATGATGAGCTTGTCAAATTGATTGTATTGAGGGTGCGTTTTAACACATGTTCAACAGCTACTGCCAGTGATGATTGGGCTATGTACAACATGCTAACAAAGGTAGCAGAGAGTACACTACATGTCCTTGAACTCTTCCTCTTCCTCGTCAGATGACACAACGAATTCCACACTTTTGGGAGCCTCACCATTGCCGGTGGCCATCTTTTTTGCCTTCTTCAAGGGCCTGTTCTTCTCTCTCCTTGTGGTGGGTAAAGCCTTGCGCTTGTGAGAGCCTCCAGCGTCAGAACACCTCTTGCATGGCTGGCAAACAATGTCACCTGCTGAATGGTGCACATCGAGTTCTGCCGTGTGAGCTTTGACTTCTGTTGGCATAAGCGCAGTCCAATAACAAGTTTTATCCTTGAGCACATCACAAAGCTTGCAAATGTCCCCAACAGTACCAATATTCAAAGGATTGATGAACTTGATGCTTCCAGGCCATCCTACAAGCTGGACAGCACATGTTTCAACAACTGCAGTCTGGTAGTTGTTGTAGTTCATGGCAATGTTTTTTTTGCCAGTCACTGCAACTGTCAAGGATATTTCATGTGAATCTCACATGGTAATCGATGTTGCCACTCACTCAGTCCACGGATAATCAATTTTTGAACTTGCTTGTGCACAGCCTCCAATGAGTTGCATTCATTTAGATCTGCAGGATAGTCATTATCAACAGAATGAATGTGAAAACATCAACAACTCACTTTGATTTTGTGTGCATGCCCACTGTTCATATTGTCGGAGATAGTCAGCCATTGGAATGTCATAAACATCTTCCTAAAAATCATTGGAATTGTCAGTACCATGCATTGAGCTTTGAATTGTGTCATTGATATGGCCACGGACGACAAACATAGTCGCATAGGTGCCAGTGTGAACACGTAAGTCATCAAGCTTTGGAGTTACAAAAAAATGAGGTCAGATGAACATACTTGATGTACATGAGAACATACCTCTTTGACAACCCTTTCTGTTGTGAGCAGAACATCTCTTGCTGCTGCCATATTATTTCCTCACACATTAGTTACATTCTGCTTACGGTGCTCAGTGAGAGCTGCAATATAACCCACCTTCTCGTCCCTCATCAACTTTTTCATCCAAGGGTCATTGGCAACCATCTCACGCAGTTCAACCAAGGTGTATTGAGAACCAACAGGTTGATCTGAGTATCACGGAATTTAAGTTATGACAGTGAGAAGTCAAGGGAGGTGAATTACTGGTATTCATTTCCTTGGCCTTGGCATGAATAAGAGCATTAGTCAACTGCACCTTGTGCATCGTGCAATATTTGGTGTGACTGCCAATAATGTCATTGATATATTTGGGAGTGATGTTGAGAGCATGGGAGAGGGATCCGATTTTCATTTTCTGCTCGTCCAGGTATATGGCAACAGCATTGTGTATGCGCTTTGTTGTCTCCACCTTCTGGTTGTGCTTGATCTTGCAAGATGCCTTTTGGGCATCTGACAGTTGAAATGGTGGGGTCCATACATGAATAACAGAGCACATTGGGTTATGCGCTGCCCATGTGGACAAAATTGCATTGCGAAGAGGCTCTAACCTTGAATTTCCAATAGGTGATGGCATGCGAGAGGGAGGCTCAGATTCACTGGTATCACTGGCAGATGACAGGTTTGCAATGGGAGGGTCACAAAGCTTTGGAAAGGTGGTTTCTGCATTGATGGCCTGTAATTCCTCAGCTGAGAGTAGCATATTGTACAATGATGGGTCCTCCCAGTTGATACTGTCAAATGAATATGCATCTCTACCAGACACGTTGTGCTTGGTGTGATAAATGCTGGGACTTCCCACTGTTTTAAAGTATTGTTATGATGTGTAGACACATCTAAATAAAATAATACCTTACCATCATGGTCACTCATTACATTGAAATCATCAGGTCCTCCATTAGCAACAAAGTTCCTGTTGGTGTCAAAGTTGTCCAAGTGATAAATGTAGCTCATAACACTTTTCTGTGTGTAGGAAGGAGGTTGTGGCAACACCAGTAGAAAATAAATTATGCTTGCCTTGAGAACCTAGAATCACATCAATGGAAGACTCTGGGTGCATCTGATGTGATTGAAAACCTACCAAATAAAATTGGCATTAGTACTGATTGTATCAATGCACCATTAAAGATGGTTACTGCTTGGGTCATCGACATTCAGTTTGAGTGACAGCACAAAACACAGTATAACACTCACAGTACAAGTTGATGACTGGAAATAGAGTCCAGCTCAGGTACGTCAAGGCAATCATCTGATGGGTATGTTGTAGAATACTCGATCTAGTAGGATGCACTACTAGTATATCAGCTCATAGTGCAGCCCATACCACATGATCCATGCACTGGAGATGACCCACCACATGTCATGCACCATCAAATACCCCATTGTGTTCCTTGGCTTAGTTAAAGTTGCATTTGCTACAGCCCATCCTGATGGTTATATGGTGCAGGCTTCCTTTCGGTTGCACAGCATTATTGGCAAGTCTACATTGCAGATTTTGTAATTTGGTGGCAACTGGATGAGGGGGAATCCAAACAACATCACACCACAATTGAAAGCTATATCTTAATACTGTCGATGTTGCGAAATCTTATGAGTCAATTTTCCACCTTAAACTCAGATGGTAAGTCTTGATTTTCAAATTATGTACATGATGTCTAACATAAAAAGGGTCATTCGAGTTGGTACAGATCTCACAGTCCAGCTGCTAGGCAGCATGTGGCTACAGAGCATTGGCTTGCAAAGCCAGGGTAAGCATTGAATTTTTAAAATGAAATTATACTTACCTGCGATTCCAGAGTTTGAGATGGGCAAAATGCAAAGGCCCATGCTCAGATGGCATGGTCAGTCTGCTCCCACTCTCATATCTAATAATTGTACTTATGCATGAGTTTGAAAGCAAGCGGGCAAGGTAATGCATTATCTTGTTTAGTAATGACATCTCTTGTTCTCACTGACTGCTCTTAGGAAAAAATACCAACAAGCCTACATAAAGCCAAACCCATCCATCCAACTTGGTGCCCCTTTGGCCATTTCGTCTGCAGTCAACAGTCCCAATTCTCGCAACATCACTCCTGAAGTCAATGATGACTCTATACTCATCATGGAAGATCACCTTGGTTGTTCCTGCAACTTGCCAACCCTCCAAAGTATTGAGATTATGGTCAACCTATGGAAAAAGGACTGGCAGTCTGAAGATAAGTGGAATGAGTCGCATGGGAAACTACTCAGCCATGCAAGATGCAAGGGGGGACATTGGATGTCCATTTTCTTTGAGGAGTGCAGTATACATGCTTTGGAGGGGCAAGCACTTCTTGAAAGTATTTGGGAAGTTGTGCACACAAGTTGCCTGTGTTGCAGGGAGCGGCTCAAGTATGACACCATTATACTATATGATTTGCTGGTTTGCATCATTTCTGAGATCAAGTTCTTTGAATTTAAAGTAGAAAACAATGTTACTATGTAGTCTGTCTGTATTATAGGATCCCTCGTGTGCATGCAACACCCCCAGATCAGGAATTAGTTGCCAAGGCCGAGAAATGTTCCACTTGTACTACAGCTGAGAACAGCAAGATATTGGCACAAGACGAATTCATCTTGTAACTCATATGAGGGTGAATAGTCTCCTTTTGCACTGTCTTGATCTGGAGAGGCTCTAGCTCCTGATCGAAGACCTGACACAAGTCCATGACCACACTTTCGTGAATCTTCTGCCACAAGTGCACACAGAAGATCTGAATCAGTGAGATCTTAAGTGTGGGGATCTTGTTGTGCATGAAAATACCTGAACAGACTTGTAGTATGGTATAGTAAGGAAACATTGTTGAAGACAAACATGAAATATGTTGAACTATCTCAAATGTTGCTCAAATGTATATCAAACACATGGCGAACATGGTGAATGTAAATCTTAATGTATAGCAAACATATGACAGATCTATAGCAAACTGATGGTGAACTGATGGCGAACATTGTAGCATATCTAGAATAAAGCACTTTCAGAGAATTCTAAATTACTCTGATTGTGTTGAAGGCTAGCATCTGTAACATGCAAGTGGTTGCAGTTAGTGTGAGCTACAAATTTAAGACTAATGGACTAAGACCACAATTGTATAGTATTGCTGGCTGGAGTCAGTTACTACATGTGGACCTTAAGGTAACTATGCAGTTGAATCATTCAGGTTTTGGGCTCTATCAATATCTGTAGTGCTGTACAGTTGCATAACAATACTGAATTCATGCAGAGCCCAACTTGTATGTTCTGTTAACTGATCACCACATGTATTTCATCAGCATGATATTACAATATGTACACAGAACTACAAACATATCTAAATGTCACAGTGGGTCATAGTCTCTGACAAGTCATCTACCTGCAACCACAGGTCATCCAAGTTAGAGGACGAGGAGGGGGAAGTTGGAGATGGGGATGGCCAGAAAGGGCCACCTGGAATCGGGACTGCTCATACTCTTCCTTCATTGTATTTGACAGTGTACACTTCGAGTGCCTCCTGGAAAGAGGGGTATGATTTCTGAACATTACCACTAACATAGTTGGTGTGTTCAGCAACATCAGCCCTAATTTAACAATTGTCAGTAATATTAGAAGTGAAAGTACGACAATGCTTACCAATGGTAGAATATACCAACTTCTTGTCCAACTGTGATCACCCAGAACCCCTCAGGCTTCAGACCATCACGTGGTGGTGCAATCTCACTCAGTGTTGGAATCATGACACTATTGGAGGGCAACTGCATGAATGGTGGTGTGGGGAGTGTGATACTTGTGCTGGTGAAAGATCGCATGTCTGATGAAGGAAGGGGGTCATGAGTGCATGAGCTAGCAGATGATGCAGGGACTGATGTTGTTTGGTTGGCATGCAAGGAGTCCATATGCAGCGCTTTGGATAAGGTTATTGTCTCTTCAACAGTCTTGCATCTCCAGGTAACCATGTCCAATGCTGAGCCTATTCTAGAGCATGAACATGTGGCTAATGTGTTAGATGTGATAGATGTACCTGATACAGTCATGCCCTCAAGTAACTGGCACAGGTCTTGGACATGACCATCATGGCAGGAGACAACAGATGGTGAGGGAGAGCACGACATGGTGGATATGAGAAGCTTAAGGAATTGGTCAATACAAATAACCAAGGGAATAGATGGAAGTGGTAGCAGCTATAACACTTATTAGTCATGCATAATGCAACAATGGACTATTTCTTCCAGGCTTAAGTTGTCGGTCCAGGCTTTCATCAATCATGTGTGGATGAATATTTGACTGGGGAAACATGCACCTGGACCATCTGAAAAATAAAACACTAGTTAACATGAGGAATTCAGGACATCAGACCCAGCGAATTCGCACCAACCTCTCCTTGCGGTCAATCTGCCACTTTGGTTCATCGCAGGATAAGAATGGACTTCCCTCCCGCTGTGCGTCAAAAATACTCAAGCATAGGGTGTTAGTTGAGCAAGCATCCAGCTGTAAAGAGCGGTGAGAGATTCGTCTGGAAGGTAAGTCATCTCCATGTGCTTAACATTACAAGAAAAGATCAGAACAGATACTTACCTGGTTCAAAGCAATGTCAATCGATGAGTGTCAAGCTCTCGAAGCTCTCAAAGATCCTTCTGCTTTCTCCCATGATGTCAATGAAGATTGTGAAGACTTCACTTTCAGTGATGTATGGGATGGTTCTGATGCACTCCCCATCAGCCACGCTGGTGGGGAGTTTGGTGACCTGGTGAGAGGTGTTCTCAAAGAAGTCTGGAGATTGTGAGTGTTTGTACAAGCAAATGATCGTGATGGTGGCTGTAGTGTTTGACACAACAATTGTACCCGGCATGATTGTGTTCTACGGAGGAATGTTGCTTTCAATGAGCAAATACCAGCAATGAGTGAAGCATACCTTCTATGGAGCCTAGAAAAGTCACAGAAAGGCTTCAAGAATTTCTTTGATCGCCTGCACAGTGAAGAGACTGAAGAAGTTGTTGATTTTGATGGTGGCCAGTGGCCAATGATGGTGGTAGATGCCTTTTGTATGTGACTTGTTGGCTTCTTGTTGATCTTACTATAATGTCATTGGTTGCACAGTTGCTGAGAAACTGCTACTCAAAATATCATCTAGGGACAAAACCATTGCCTTGGCACTGGTTCGTCAAGGCGTTATGCCCCACTCTCAAATATCACCAGTTGTTTGTATAACATTAGAAACCCTCAAATTTTATTGTGTAGCACACCTCAGGAGCCCACATCTTTCAATTCAAGCATTTGTCAAAACCATATCTGATTTACATGGGGTATGGTCAGCTTCAAGTTCACCTGTGCTCAGCACTAAAATCACACAGATTGAATTCCACCAGCACCTGTCTCGTCAATTCTTGATTGCATTCAACTTGTACCACCAAATCAGATGGACTGTAGCCTCACTCATAATGGAATCACTCCAACATGACTCACCCAACTGGTGCCTCAAACATGCTTGTCCAGCGTGTACTTACATGCTTACTGATGAAGGCCAGCTACACTTCAAGATGCTCTATGCCATGGATGGGAACAATTCATTGAAGCGAGTTCTACAACACTCCCTGAATGATGACAATGACAACAACAACACTCCTGGTGCATCATCTGAGCTTCCTACTGGCCAGTTGTTCATTAGTGACCATTACCTGGCTTGTGACTTTGTAGACCAGTTTTCACAGGATGTGTCATGCAATTTGGGGTGGGAGGTGAGTGATTGATGTGGACTCCATGTAGAAACAACTCAATGTCAGTCAGAATGCACCTGAAGAGAACTCTTGCGAAGGATGGTGGAAAAATATGGATGATTCAAAGACCCAAAAAGCATGGGGCATCTATGATGAAATGGGTATATTTGTTGCCGTCTGCTGCCATGGTTTTTGTTTGCTCATCATGGATATGGTACAGAGTGGGGAACTGTAAGTAACACATATTATTTGTTTTCTGTTGCTGACAGGTGTTGTACAGTGCAAAGTATCCCCTAATGGTTGTTGCCAAATTGCTGGATGCTTTTGGTGACAATCTGGGTGGCGGTTATGATATTGGCTGCCAATTCAATACTACTATCGACAAAAGTTCCATTGGAGCCCTCGCATGCTCATTACATCACACTTGCCTAGTTGGCGCATTTCATGGCCATGCCCATAGACGCTTATGTCAGCTTTTTCATTAACTACCTACACCAAGGGTGTCGGCATTGAAGACTTGGAGACTTGTGAACGCACTTTCTCAAAGTCAAATTCACTTGCATTGTCTCTACAGTATACTAGTATATTTCATTGCAAACAGGCCATTGACTCTTACTTCGAGCACAATGACAACCTTGAGGTGTATGGTAATCTTTGTATGTTGGTTGCTTTATCATGCACAAGTGTTAAGAACCATGCTCAAAGGAGAGAGAGACTGACTCAGAGGGGCTTGGCCTCAGCTCATACGCTGTGTCCCTTACCCAAGTATATGCCCTTCATTTCAGAGGAAGTCCGATGATGGTCCGAGGAAGTCTGGAGGACTTCCAGAGGAGCACAGGAGAGTTCTAGAGGAATGCAGGAAATGCTCAGGAGAGTTCCTGCTGCAAGGTAATACTTCTACAGGAAAACAGGATGGAAGGATAGGAGGTCCAGAGGTCTGGAGTATGGAGGACAGGAGGTCCAGAGGTATGGAGAACAGAACGTCTGAAGGACAGGATGCCTGGAGGTATGAGAGACAGGAAGTCCAGAGGTACAGAAGACAGGAGGTCCAGAGGTCCGGAAGGAATAGGGGCTACATCAGACGAAGTCTGATGTAGAAGCAAACGGAGGTAGACTACCCTAAGGTAGAGTCGGAGGGACAGGAAGTGGACCTAAGTCTGGAAAGAGGGTAAGTGCCAGAAAGGCAAGACTCTAGCCTAGGGAAGCAATCCCTAGACTTGGGACAGAGACATAGGGGACAAATCCGAAGGTCCGGAATTCCAGCCTAGGGAATCCATCCCTAGGCCTTATGGAAAAGGACAAACTCAGATGGACTGAAGTCCGGAAGAAGATTGGGCAAGTCTAAGTTGATATTCAGACTGAGGACTCTACTGTAGTTGTACAGGGATTATATACTAGAGGCTCTCTGAGAGGATCAGTAAGCAAAGGAGTAAGGCTATGTATGAGCATGTGGAAACACATTGGTAAGTAAGACGGAACATAACTAAATGAACTCGGAGATGAAACTAGTACAAGGATCAATCAGCAAGACAGAAACAGAGATAACCAAGAACCGGAAAGGAGGAGATGCCTAAATGGGGATAGGCGCAGGATCTCAGATGGAGGGTGGGAATAGGTCCAGAGATAGCACAGTTAATATCCGGAGGTCCGGAGATCTGGGGATCTGGAAGGCAGGGCAGAAACAGGACTGAGATGTGTGAGGTGGTGGATGTAGTCCAGAATCTGAGAGGAGGTAAAGTCTGGATATCTTGCTGGACAGAATGTGCATAGGGTGGACAGGATAGGGGATCCAGGAATGAGTCAGATATGGGGTCCAGAAATAGGTCTGGAAAGCGTGGGAATATGATGGGATCTATGTCTGGCATATGGGATATGACAACAAGACACTGGCTGACATAATCATTCTGTGCCTAGCTAATTTTCTCTACAGCAACTACAAGCAGGCACTTGATATCCTGACGAATGGTAGTGATGTACTACCAAATGTTATGCGAGACCCCGGAGTCATGGACACCAGTGTTTTTGAAAGTTGGCTGGAAGAAGAGAAAGTATACCTCAAGGGCCTAACACAGGAGCCAGAAGAAGAGACACTTCAGATGGAATACTGGCAGAGGTTAGTAAGTCTTGGTGTGAGCAAGTGAGTGTTGCATTTTGGTGTGTCTTGTAGTTACTGATACTCCCCTCAAATAGTGTTGCTCTCAATGCTGCAATGAACCTGTTCAGAACACCTTCTCGCCACTGTGATATTGCTGGATCATATGATGCAGAGGTCGGAAACACACACAAAACTGAGAGTGCACGTTGCCATGCTCTCAAAGATTACAAGAGAAACCTGAAACTGGTTCAAGCATTGGAATGCAAACTTGATATTATCACTCGCTGGGTTCCAGATGATGGAGAGTGGCAGAGGGTGGGGAGGCTTGTGGCAAACAGGAAGTACCAATGTGCGCTGGACCATCTTGAAGGTTTGGTTGTAGCATGTATTTTTGAACTTGCAAAGATGAACAGGGCAGGAACGGGTGAGTTCCAGTGAGGCTTTACTAGTAGTTGTTTGTGCTAATTCTATGTTCCAGGTTACAAACTATGAAAGCACATTGCAAAGGCATTGCAAACGCGTTCCACCACCATCAGATCTGCCCTCAACACTTACAACAATATCATGAGTGCAATGTTCCCTCCACGGCAGGTACTCAAGTGGGATGAGGTTGTTGAATACACTTTTCTCGCAGACTTCAATTTGCTATGCAATGCACGGGCAGATGTTTCTCAAACTCCTTGGTCTTTGCCTGCAGCTCATAGTGCCATGGACCTTTATTTCAAGATGTGTTGGGCTCAGGAAGAAATATCTTGCCTGGATGTTAAGGTTTGCTGTCTGGTGACCTACATACAAGACAAAGACAACTATCTACAGGTGTGTGAGGATCAACTTAAGGCTACTAGCCCTGCTCTTGCCCATCAAGTGGCCATTCATCAGAACATTCGAGGGCACTTCAACTCCCACCATCTGAAGCGCCTTGATGATATATCTAAGCTCCCTGGTTTCAGTGGGACAGTAGTTCCTGGTGTTAGCACATGCACGGGTCCTGGGGAGAGTGCCAGCACACCAAATGCACAGACTCCTGCCAACATGTTCAGTGACCGCATTCCTGTACATAACCCATCTTCTCCTGTAGGCACAGATACACAGGAGGACCTGGATGAAGAGGAGGAGGCAGACAAGGTGACAGAGGAAGCCTCCAGGAGTTTGCAGAATGTCCTCCGCATCACTGATGATTTATCAGGGTTACAACTTATTGACAATGCTGAACTAGAGTAGTAGCCATCATAGTACTTGTTGCAATTCACTGAGTCTTTTGTTATGATGCTTAGTTAAAATGCACCCTCAATACAATCAATTTGACAAGCTCATTGTGTACAACGGCAGGCACAAAGGTTTGGGTGGCGGGCGGTGATAGCCGACATCAGGAACATCAACTACATCAGTGCCTACATGCCCATGCCTACTTACCCTAGTATACTGCTCTACTAATTATTATAAGTCACTCATTATCGAAGAGATATTGAAGGAGGCTTGCAGGTGTTGAAAATCCATCGTTTTACAGGTGATAACCCTATCTATTATCACTTCTATTTAGAGCCCTTACATGGGAGTCACAGGTGTGAGAATCTGTGCTGTGGTACTTCAGTGAATCTCGCAGCACTCAGCAGTCACCTTGGGTGGGGGGAATATATGTTAATTATAATAAAATGTATATATGATATATTTAGTGTAGTATCTATTTATGTACCCTCGGAACTTGCCGCTGTTAGCATCACATAGCCTCTCCACTGTTTCCCATGTCCACTACACCATTGAGCTCATCATCTTGCACAATGAGCTCGATATTTAGCTCAATTCTCATAGTTTCAAGGTGCTTTTTTGTCTCTTGTATTACTCTTCCTCTTCCTGCCTTACCTTGCTTCATTGTTACTCTTACACCACACATCTGGACCACACACCAAGAGGCTATGGGGCACAAGAAAATGTTGACATCCTTGCATGTGAAGATGTCTGTTCTCAAATCTTCCAGCTCTCTCCATACAACAACAGCCTCACTCTCTCAAATTCAACATGAGCGCTTGGATGCAGAACGTCACTGTGCAGAATTAGCCAAACATATGTATCCATTCCTCCTATGGTTTTTACTAATCCTGATTCAAGAGAACACACAGTCTGAAAGATCTTCACTGTGATGACTTGTGAACCCCGGGTGGTTGTCCTCCATAGTACTATCCTCCTTTGACAGCAGGGCCTTTGAACCTGAGATGTTACCGTTTGGTGTAGGAGTGTTGCCTGGATTGTTTGGCATCATGACACTTTGCCCCTGATTATTGAATTCTTTGACATTCTCGGAAGGGTACTCGAGTGTGTCGAAGTACTGTGTTTTTTTACCAGGCGTTGAGGACAAACAAAGTTCCATTGGTTGAAGTGTCAAAAGGATCAGACTGACTTGGCTTGGAACACAACGTCATTCATAGGATGACGTCACTGATCACAGTGACGTCCTAGATGACCCAGTGCTCAGTAGATCATGATCATGTCCTTATGTCTGCACCCGATATGTGTGATTGAATTATGTAGTGCACAAAACTGCACTATGCACCATCCACAGTATTTGGCAATAGCAAATGTTGCAACATGTATGTGAGTAGAACGTACAATCTGAGTGATGTGCATAACTATATAGATTCAAATAGTAGCGGTGACAAACTTGCAAGTAAAGAAGTGAGTTGTCGAAATTCAAGGAGTGACTTGTTGATCTCATCAAGGGGTCCTCAAGGTCCTGCATGCAGACAGCAAGCAGCTCATCAGACATCGCATCTTATCTTACCTCCATTCAAATACAAGTGTGACATTGATCCATCATGCAGAGGTTAATGTATTTGACATCATGAATATTCCTGACTCACACCATTGACACCAACTACATAAATTAGCTTACATGCACCATATAACTAATAAATACCACAAACCAAACTTAGAATCAAGCAAAAACAAAATTCTCCTGCTCCCTCCAGAGCACCAGACAACCGTCAACTCCATCAAGCATCTCCCGTGCTACACACCATTGCTGGTTGATATATGCACACGCTCCTGGAAGGCGATTAAGGTCATGCCTGTTGCTGCGTCGGAGTCAGCCACAAGCTTAGCATGATATTCTTGAACTCCAAGGATCAGGTGGGGTCCCAACACGA